ATTTTATTTTATCAAATAGTAAATGAAAACGTACAAATAACCAAAAGTTTCAATAAAATACTCCCTCCGTCCCCAATTTAATTACAAATTGCGGGTTACGGAGTAAAATTTCCTACTTTTTGAAATCATTTTATTTACAAATTGGTATATCAATAAGTTATAAAAATTACATATTAAAAAACTACGTCAAAAGTTCTACAAAATAAGAGGTGACAAGAATATTTTATTTTATCAAATACTTGATGAAATCGCGTAAACAAACAAAAGTTATCGAGAGGAGAGAGAAAAAAAATTTGTAATCAAATTGGGGACGGAGGGAGTAATAATCGTACAATAAAAACTTTGATTTGGTAAATGTTTTACAAAAACCATTTTCTCCTTAATTTGTGTGAAGGGTGGTAAGTGGTAATTGGTAAACAATCACGAGGACTCCACTATTCACGATTCTTTGAAGACTAGAAGATACAAAAAGTCTGGCGAATAAAAAAAGGGAAAATGTAATTAAGGAGACAACCCTTATGCGTTTTCGATATCTCATTGGTCGTAGCCCTACAACATCGTACGAATGTTATCTCTTTCTCTCTAATCTCTCTATGGACTCTATACATATGTTTCTTTCCTTTTCTTTCACATCTCATAATCTTTTTTCTTTGACGTTAGCTTTGGGGTTTTTTCCAAAAGAAGCAAACAGTTTAGGTTTTTATGTAGGACTACCACTGAATTATTACTACACGCTGTAATAATTGTTGTCCTTATTTGGAGCTTTTTTTCTTTTTTTATTACTGATTTCTCTTTTTTTTTTCTGTAAAGAATAAAACATATTTTGACTCATCACCTACTGTGTGTGTTTTTTTCCTAAATGGGAAAGTAGGAAAGTAAAAAGCTTCACTTTGAGATATGGATTGATACTAGTTAGAACTTAATTTTTTGGTCATTAATTTATAAAGGTGAGGTGTAATAAAAATAAAAATGGTACTCCGTGATTTTTCTCTTTCTTCTAAATAAATTTCAGTTACTATTTTTCTTGAAACACTTTTGTTAAACTTCATAAAGCTTAACTAGAACGATTAGTTCAGGGCATATATTATACTCCCTCATCCATAAATAAGGTTTCCGTTGCGCGTTAGGATCTTTGAGTGAAGTTTTTAAATCATTTTATATGAAAAATAATATGAATTAAAAAAATTACATATTTAAAACCACATGAAAAGATCGACAAAATTAGAGATGGTCTGACATGACTATATTATTTTATCAAATATGACACGAAAATAGGCCAACAAAGTGAATAAAATTTGACCATGTGAATAATGAACTGGAAATTTATTGTTAGACCGAGGTAGTATTATATTTCCTCCATCCAATGGTCTTTCTATTTGACTATTCTCAGTCAAATTTTATAAACTTTGATCACGATATATAAAAAAGGGTGAGGTTCTTATGACATTGGGTCCCAATGTCATGAGATGACCCGGGGGCGCTCCGATGCTCCATTCGTAAAATTGATGGTTCTTACCCCACCTAACCCCCGGTAAAGCCCCCACCCTGCCTCAACCCAGTGTCATGAGAATCTTGGTGATAGAAAAAATATATTTTGTTTTGATATAAATGTAATAGCAATGTATTTTATGAAACATAGTTTTGAAACATAAAATTTTCATAAAATATATCCATACATAAATGAAGATATTAATGATGTAAGTATTAAATTAAGAATTGGTAAAAAAAATCAAATAGAAAGATGTAGGGCATAGGTTAAGGAGGTGAGTGAGGAGGTAGGAAATGGAAAGTTTCTTTTAATGAGAATAGTTATATGTATGGCATTTACCTCCCAAAATGGGTAGGTACTAGTAGTAGTACTATACTCCTCCATCATCTGGATCCAATTATATCACCCCAAAAAACTACTTACCTAATTAAGCTTTCTTCACATATATATATATACTCCCTGTCTCTATATATCTATATATATATATATATATATATATATCATCCTGGATCATCATCATCATCTCATCATCGATCTGCTTGCTCGCTGGATAATCTCCTCCTTTTCCCTTTTTGCAGATCGATCGAGGTATGTATGTATGTATAGATACATATATACATATACATATACATATACATATACATAAATATATATATACACACCGTATTTCTTTTGTGTGTGTAATGATGGATGGATCAATGCAATATTGTATAATTAATATTCCCTTTTATCTGGTCTTTAATTTGTAGCTACATACTACAGTATTTTTTACTTGATAATTAAGCTCGCTAGCTTATTTTGCTTATTAATTAAATACGAGCTGAGCTTCCATCCACAATCATAATTTTAATTATGCTTTCATAAAATTGAATTGTTATTTTGAGACGATGAATAGGTTAAATATATAATTAAGATAAGATGAATTGAAGATGGATTAATGCTGTAATTAATTTGATTGTGTGTGTGTGTGTAGGTGCGTAGGAATTGGGAGAGATACGGCCGGGCAGAAAGGACATGTATATTAGGTTCAAGCAAGCAAAGAGAAATATAATTAATTAATTAATTAATTAAAGCTAGGTAGCTAAGGAACGGAGGAAAAGAAATATATTTATTTTTTTTTTAAAAAAAAAAAAAAAAGAGAAAGAGAGAGAGAAGGAGAAGGAGAAGAAGGAATAATGGTGAGGGGGAAAACGGAGCTGAGGCGTATAGAGAACGCGACGAGCAGGCAGG